ATTATTATTATTACTATTATTATTATTACTATTATTTACACTACGTAACATGATTTCCCCTGAGTCGTTATTAGTACCCATCATATATGTATTCCAATAATACACATACACATATATACATATATACATATAGCTTTCTCTATAATTTATATATTATATTATACTATATTATATTATAATATTTACATTGTATTGGGATACATGGTATGTGTATACCAATAATATACCTGTGCACATACATATATACATATAGATTTCTCTATGAGCTACATATTAGATTAATTGTATTGTTATACATCATATATGGATACCAATAATACACACATACATATATCTATACAGCTTTCTCTATAAACTATATATTATATTATTATAGTACATTAATATTTACTTTGTATTGGTATGCATGATATAGGTCTACCAGAAATATATATATACATATATACATATAGTTTTCTCTAAAAACAATATATTATATTAATATTTACATTGTATTGTTATGCATGATATATGTATACCAATAACACACACACTTATATATATATATAGCTTTCTCTATAAACTATATATTATAATATAATATAACATAATATTTACATTGCATTGATATACATGATATAGGTATACCAATAATACACTCATACATACATATAGCAATAATACACTCATATATACATATAGCTTTCTCTGTAAACTATATATTATATTATTATAGTACATTAATATTTACTTTGTATTGGTATACATGATATAGGTATACCAAAAATATACACATACATATATACATATAGCTTCCTGTAGAAACAATATATTATATTCATATTGACATCGTATTGGTATGCATGATATATGTATACCAATAACACACACACACTTATATATATATATAGCTTTCTCTATAAACTATATATTATATTATAATATAACATAATATAATATTTACATTGTATTGATGTACATGGTATAGGTATACCTATAATACACACATACATATATCCATATAGCTTACATACAAATGTGTTTGTTGTGCATGCAATTGTGTTTGTTGTGCATGCAAATGTCGTGCATACAAATGTGTTTGTTGTGCATGCAAATGTGTTTGTTGTGCATGCAAATGTGTTTGTTGTGCATGCAAATGTGTTTGTTGCGCATGCAAATGTGTTTGTTGTGCATGCAAATGTTGTGCATACAAATGTGTTTGTTGTGCATGCAATTGTGTTTGTTTTGCATGCAAATGTGTTTGTTGTGCATACAAATGTGTTTGTTGTGCATGCAAATGTGTTTGTTGCGCATGCAAATGTGTTTGTTGCGCATGCAAATGTTTGTTGTGCATGCAAATGTTGTGCATACAAATGTGTTTGTTGTGCATGCAATTGTGTTTGTTGTGCATGCAAATGTCGTGCATACAAATGTGTTTGTTGTGCATGCAAATGTGTTTGTTGTGCATGCAAATGTGTTTGTTGTGCATGCAAATGTATTTTTGTGCATGCAAATGCCATTGTGCATGCAAATGTGTTTGTTGCACATGCAAATGTATTTGTTGTGCATGCAAATGTGTTTGTTGTGCATGCAAGTGTGTTTGTTGTGCATGCAAATGTATTTGTTTTGCATGTAAATGTGTTTGTCGTGCATGCAAATGTGTTTGTTGTGCATGCAAATGTATTTGTTGTGCATGCAAATGCCGTGCATGCAAATGTGTTTGTTGTGCATGCAAATATGTTTGTTTATTTTGTTGCACAGCATTGCAGTTGAGCCAAAGGGCTGCGCATCACAATCAATGCTTAGTTCTATGCTAGAGGAGAGCATAGGATAGGAACATATGAGCAGGGTTATATATTCACATCGGCTGCCCACAGATTTCTAAAAATGAGCGTGCCTTGAAGCTGAGGTCTGCAAAATTGCAGGTTCGTGCATAGCTAAAGCTATTGAATGCCGAAAGGTTGAATGTTTATCTTGGCTCTTTGGTGGCTCAAGAGGAATGGAGCCCGAAGGAGAAAAGGATATAAGGAAGCTGCCTTACAGTCTGAATATTTATTTATAAAGCTTGAGCATCCCTTGCAATATCCCTTTGTTTACTGAGAGTGCAATGTACACACACTTGGCTTCATGCACAAGACTTTTGCAAATATTGTGCACAAGGTAGCCTACGAGGGATGTGCATTATAATGTATGTGCAAAACAGAATGGAGATCTAATTATTATTATTGGGTTGTTGTAGGTTTTTCCAGACTATATGACCATGTTCTAGAGGCATTTTCTCCTGACGTTTCGCCTGCATCTATGGCAAGCATCTCAGAGGTAGTGAGGTCTGTTGGAACTAGGAAAATGGGTTTATATATCTGTGGAATGACCAGGGTGGGACAAAGGACTTTTGTCGACTGGAGCTAGGTGTGAATGTTTCAACTGACCACCTTGATTAGCATTTAATGGCTTGGAAGTGCCTGGGGGGAATCTTTTGTTGAGAGTGATTTGATGTGCCTGGTCATTCCAAAGATATATAAACCCATTTTCCAACTTCCAACAGACCTCACTACCTCTGAGGATGCTTGCCATAGATGCAGGCGAAATGTCAGGAGAAAATGCCTCTAGAACATGGCCATATAGCCCGGAAAAACCTACAACAACCCAGTGATTCCGGCCATGAAAGCCTTCGACAATACATTATTATTATTATTATTATTATTATTATTATTATTATTAAATTTAATTATTGAATTATTATTATACGTATTTTAAATTAGTATTATTAAATTTAATTATTAAATTGTTATTATTTTAAATTATTATTATAATAAAATTATTTTTTTTAATTATTATTTTAAATTATTATTATTATTTTAAATTATTATTATTATTTTAAATTATTATTATTATTATTATTATTCCGCTTTATCTCTCCCAAAGAGGACTCAAAGGTCGGATGGGCATCTTTTAGGTGTGCTCTAGTTGTGCCTTCCCTGCATTACAGAATAGGGACTGGATGGCCTTTGGGGGTCCCTTCCAGCTCTAATATTGTATGCTTCCATAAAATGCCTACCACTCAAGAGAATGGGAAGTTACAAGAACAGAGCAATGGGACCTTTGTGTTATCAAAGGCTTTCATTGCTGGAATCACTAGGTTGCTGTGGGTTTTCTGGGCTGTAAGGCCATGTTCCAGCAGCATTCTCTCCTGGCATTTCACCTGCATCTGTGGCTAATGGCATCTCCAGAGACCTGTTGGCAGTAAAGCCAGTGGGAGTGTGTGTGTGTGTATGTGTCAATAATAATAATAATAATAATAATAATAATAATAATAATAATAATTTAAAATAATAATAATACATAATTATAATTTAAATATATATATATGCCGTCCCCTGCCACACACTGCTGTGGCCCAGTCTGTGTATATGTGTTTTGTGTTTGTGTGTATATATTTGTGTATATGTGTATATATGTGCGTTTGTGTATATATGTGTGGTTTTGTGTATGCGTTGCAATGTATTTTGTAATTTTTGGCTTTTCAAGTCTCTTCCATTGTGTTTTTCAGTATTTTTATGAGTGATGGTCACTTGTTGGCCTGATAGGTGTCTTGTGTCCAAATTTGGTGTCAATTCGTCCAGTGGTTTTTGAGTTATGTTAATCCCAGAAACTAACACTACATTTTTATTTATATAGATATAGATATGGAATAATGTCCAGGGTGGGAGAAAGAACCCTTGCCTGTTTCAAGCAAGTGTGGATGTTGCAATTAGTAAGCTTGACTAGCACTGAGTAGCCATGAAGTTTGCAAAGTCAATCAGTGAAGGTACCTGCATAGATAGCAAGTGATATATATATGGATGGAATAATRTCCAGGGTGGGAGAAAGAACCCTTGCCTATTTCAAGCAAGTGTGGATGTTGCAATTAGCAAGCTTGACTAGCATTGAGTAACCAAGAAGCTTGCAAAGTCAATCAGTGAGGGTACCTGCATAGAGGCTTTGAAGCAAGTGATATATATATATATATATATGGAATAATGTCCAGGGTGGGAGAAAGAACCCTTGCCTGTTTGAAGCAAGTGTGGATGTTGGAATTAGCAAGCTTGACTAGCACTGAGTAGCCATGAAGTTTGCAAAGTCAATCAGTAGGGGTACCTGCATAGAAGCATTGAAACAAGTGAGAGATATATATGCAAACTTCATCACATATAGAATCATATAGGGATGGAATAATGTCCAGGCTGGGAGAAAGAACCATTGTCTGTTGGAAGCAAGTGTGGATGTTGCAATTAGCAAGCTTGTCTAGCACTGAGTATCTATGAAGTTTGCAAAGTCAATCAGTGAGGGGATCTGCATAGCGGCAGTGAAGCAAGTGGAGTGTATATTTACCTCTAGAATAATATCCAGGGTGGGAGAAAGAACCTTTGTCTGTTTAAAACAAGTGTGGATGTTGCAATTAGCAAGCTTGATTAGCATGAGTAGCTGCAAAGTCAATAGATGAGGGTATCTGTACAGAGGTAGCCTGGCCTCTGTTGCCTGGAGGCACCCCCTGTTTGAGATGTGTTAACTGGCACTTCAACATACAAGGCTTCTTTCTCCCACCCTGAACATTATTCCAAAGGTATATATACACTCCACTTGCTTCATTGCCAACACAATCTCTGAAGATACCATTAGCTACAGATGTAGGTGAAATGTCAGGAGAGAATGCTGCTGGAACATGGCCAGACAGCCTGAAAAACTCAGCAACCCGATGGGGCCGTTATTTGGAAAGACCCAAGCCATTCTGTAGTGGGTTTTCCCCCAATTTGGATTGTGGGTTTTTCCTGATTGCCCAATTTTTCTCACCCAGGAATGCTTCAGCAAACAGCAAGTGGCCAACACCATCCGACAGGTGCAGAAACTGCTGTCTGCGCATGAAGCCGCCCAGCTCCAGAGCCTGCGCAACTTCAAGAAGCAGCTGACCGTCCTGCAAAGCAGCGTCCTCAAGCAAGGGACCAAACAGAACGGTAAAAGCCTGGGCAGTCTATTATTATTAT